GGTTGACTTCTAAAGTAGAGCAAGTTAAAAAGCCAAGATATAAGGTAGGTGATAGCGTAAGGATTTCCAAGTATAAACATGTTTTTAGTAAAGGTTATACTCCAAATTGGACAGGGGAACTATTTACAATAGCAGAAGTTAAGAATACAAAGCCTGTGACTTATATCTTGAAAGATGAAAATGGCAATATAATCAGGGGAGGCTTCTATACAGAGGAGTTGTTAAAGACCAAGTATAAGGACATGTATTTGGTAGAGAAGATAATTAGGAAAAAAGGTGATTCGTTGTATGTCAAATGGCTTGGGTTCCCAAGTAGCCAGAACTCATGGATTTCCACTAAGGATGTCCAAGGGAGCACGTCATAAGCCGGGAGCATGCCCGAGTTCACGCACAAACCTCACATGATTTTGAAAATATACATGGGAATGGATGTGGATTTGAAATTTTAATAGAGTTTGAACATTTATATAGGCTTGTATTGGACGAGATCCAGGTCTTTTAAAAAAGTGGCCAAAAAATGAGCCATATTCCAGACGTGATTTTTAGTATTAACAAAAGTAGAAAATTTATATAGGGGTGTATAGGTCGAGAGCTGGGTCTTTAAAAAAAGTGGCCAAAAAAAGCTCTTCCATTTTTTTCTCATTTTCCCCCTATAAAAAGTGCCCTAAAAGTGCCTCTAAAACGCCGAAAGTGGGGTCATATTGTCCTATTATATCTACTAGCTTACAAACAACATCTTCAATTTCTATTAGAATAAATAATTTATTACAAAACTTACCGAACTGTTTAAAAATTCATCCAACGCACTAGCGAAGAAAATATTTGCCTTGCGGCAGAATATTTCTGCCTTCCCCACTGCAGATGTGTTAAAGTTAATTGCAATAATATATACGCTACCTTTGAATGTTCTCGTCCAAATTTTCGAATCTTTGATATGAATTTACATTAACTATTTTAAAGTAACAGGACAAGACTTGTTGTGTAACTCTTTAATTAATAAATGAGATTAATATAAAAAATTGCTCTCGATCTCCTAATCAATCTGTCTTGTAATAACAGACAAAAAATTTATTTTTTGTCAATCAGTAAAATCCTTTATTGTCCTCCCTATTTAACCCATTTTTACGATTGAGGTGCAATTTTAAAGCTTGTGATCAAGCGACCCCATTGAGCCTATAATTTGAATCTTACTATGCTGTAGTGTATTCAATACCGTTTATGTTTCAAAATAAAATGTAATGTAATTGACAGACCAAATCTTTGTTTAGTTTTGGTTTACAGACTAGGCTGTCATTTGACAACTTCTAAAGCCAAAACAAAGGTTGTTTGTGTTTCGTTGTCATTGCAAATAAAACAAAACAACAGGTTTAAGGCCTTCAGGCAACCACTGTTGTTGACGAACAGCGTATTGTGTTGAACAACAATTCCTATTTTAAATAAATCCCTTAGACGTTTTTGGCCATGCTTAATTATATGTTGTATTAATTTCTTACTAGTTTAATTACTTGGGTAAAATGCTATTGTAAATTTACAAATGCCTCGAACAATATTGTGGTGCTAATCAGTCGTTTACATTTACATACAGCCAGTACATTCTAATCACCCTAAACAACGTAAGGACCAACATCTCTAGTCTTGCATTGAGAGAAGACCAACATGATCACAATACAAGGTCAAAATCCAACCTTGATATCCCTTTCTGCAGACTAAACAAAAAAAGGACAGCTTTCCTATGTTGGCAATTAGGATGTACAACCGACTGCCACTGTACTTTAAAAACCTTGAGGCCTCAGTTTTCAAAAACGAACTGAGGGAGTGGCTACTGGCAAGACCCTTGTACTCCTTAGATGAGTTTTATAAAATTTGCGTCTAACCTGCTGCCAAACTTGTAAATATGTATATATATATTATTATTATTTTTATTTTGACTCAGTCTATCCAGCAAGAGCTGGTCAACGACGTCGAGGGAGTAAGTAAGTAAGTAAGTAAGTAAGTAAGTTTAGTGAACGAAAGGAATTGTTGAAAACAAAAAGTCATGGTTATTGGGTTGTTTGAATTACATTTGTTGAGATGGAAACTACTGCATTGATATTTGAAAAGTATCATTTAATTTTTTATGAATAAACTAGCTGTACCCGCGGGCTTTGCCCCGTTTAACTTCTTAATTTTCAAGATTATCTCGTTCGCGTGGCTCAATCACGTCCTGGTTGAAGTTTGTTCGCTACGCTCACTCACCTTTAGGTTGGAGCTCGTTCGCTGCGCTCACTTGCCTTCAGGTTAGCTTGTTCGCTACGCTAACTCGCCTCCAGGTTGAAGTTCGTTCGCTACGCTCACTCACCTTTTGGTTGCAAATTAGCTGTTGTCATAAATGTAAAAGAAATAATAGTGCTGCACCCTGTTGGTAATCCTTGTAACTTTAATGCTATTGAACATCATAGAACAGAACCAACTTGTTTAATTGAAACAGCTGTTAAGATTCAATAATTCCATTTCTCATAAGGTTAACATGGGAAACTCCAGAGCCACTGGGGCGGAGCCCGAAAGGATTTTTGAAATAAGAATATGCCTATATGTTAATCGGGAATGTGAGCTATCATCATGCCAAATTTCAGCCCAATCCGACCAGTATTTTTCGCGTTCACTTGTCACAAACATACATCCATACATCCATACATCCATACATCCAAACTTTCTCATTTATAATATTATATATATAATATAGTACGAAGTACGATTAGTACGATAGTAGGATTGTGATTGCACAGAATGACTAGCTGATAAACAACCTTGTTACAGTATATTTATTATCAATGAGCTGTAACAGAGCTCTTGAGCTCATTACACACTGAATGCTAACAGAATTGAAAGTCGTCAATATAAATCTGTTAAAGCAGTTTAAGTGTGTCTACATATATGTTATGTATTACCAATCCATTAGTTTGATTGCTATGAAACTTTGGGAAATCGTTAATAATGTTTAGGGAAGTTTAATAATGTCTTATTCTAGATTCAACATCAACTTAGAACTAACTCTGTCCCAGGGCTCTTCACGATAGCTCCGTATTAAACATACAACAATGATGTGTTGACCTGTTTGTCAAATTTTGTTTCCTCTGCACAGAACCCTCCAGAAATCTTTGCTTGAATTTGAATTTTAATATTTTCAAAGGCTTATTTTGATGTCACACGACATAGAAATGTCCCCACAATACATTGAGAGCTTCCCATCGCTGTTCCTTTTGTTTACAATAAAGTTAACAGTTGCCTGTTTTTTTGTTATTTTTTTAGTTAAGCTCTGTTATTGTTTTTTTTTTATTTCTAAGTTATTTTTTATAAGAGAGATCCTAACAAAATAACAGCTTCTCCATTTCATAAACAACTCTTTATAACACAGCTTGAACCTTTTATTTTTTTACATTACAAAAATCTTAAAATCTTTATTGCACAGTAAAAAATGGTTAAAATGCAATATAAAACAACTTATATGCAGAGTTTGAATTTAATACTCGTGTTTTCAGTTTATAATTCAATAATACTCATTCCATGTTCTGAAGTTGCCTCACCATCATCACACCAATGGGAGAGTTTTTGTGATCAACTAAACACATTTCTGTTGATTGAGGCTGGACAACGCGACTTTGGGTCTGACAAAACCTAACAAATCAGTGAGGGCGGTTGATGACTACCCTTAGGCTTCTACTCCCTCCCCCCTCTGTTTACGTCCCCCCCCCCCCCACATTCACTAACAAATTTAATCTTTGATTCCCAATCTGAATGTAGGTTGTGGGATTATCTAACAGATTACGTTATAATAAAATAAAAATAAAACAATATTTTTAGGGTTCAGATTCCAGTCCCAAAAACTTAGTTTTCAATCGTCGTGATGGAGAATATCCTTAATAATTTGTTAGATAGTGTAAACTCGCCATCAAAAAAGCGAAATTCACAAATTGAATATGGGATTGTTTAAAAGAATGGTTTGGAAAAATCCTTTATATATTACCTCATTCTTTTACTGCTGTTAAGTTTTTAGTTTTCTTCACTCCATGGTCTAAAAATGATAACAAGTCAATTTATTAAACCAAACTCATTCAATTATGTTCACTATACCTTCGCCAAATTTACGAGTCTGCTTTAATAAGATCCCACCAAAATAGTTTGGATTTTTTTTTAAAAGTTCAAGATTTTACCAATAATATTTTATGTTATCAAAAAGAAGTGTGGGAGGATATCTTTAGCAGTCTTGAAACTTAAAAGCCTTGCTATTGAATGGTTTTGATGACAAGTTCAGTTAATAAACGTCAACTTTGCTTCAGAGACATCTCTTATATTATTTTCTCTCTTAATTGAATCTTCTGATAACTAATTGGTATAATTGGTGAAGTTTTCCTTCCTTTTCTTTTTGGGAACAGGGTTTGTTAAAGAGTGCAGCATTTTGATCTCTACAGAAAGAATGAGCAATTTACAAATATAATATTTTACAATCCCTCTTAAAAGTTATTTAAAAAACCCCACTACTAGCTAATTAACTAAAAATGAAGTAGCTAATAAACCACATGATTTAGTAGCAACGTAGCTGTTATAACGTAGTTAAGAGTAAATGTATCATTTTAAATACCAAAAATGTAGTACACAACCTATTTATTTTTTTTTTTTTTTATTACTATAAATATATTATTGTTTGATAAGTTTACTCGGCAAATGATTGTATAGCTTTAGACCTCTAGGCCACATCACATAAAGAACTTTTTTGAATATAGGATAACTGTACAGGTTTTTGTTTCTAGTGATGTACTATTTTTTTTTACTGTTTGAAATCTTTCTTACTTTCATGAACATAATCAATCTTGAAAAAAACAGGTTGGAATGTGGAATGATTTCGTATTATTATTTTTCTGGTGGTTAATTAAGCATAGGAAAACTAGATACCCTCTAAAAATGAAATCTTTCCCATATTTATATTGCACAGTACGTATTTAATTAAGATGGCTTTGTTTCAGATTGCCTTCACTTGCAGTTGTATCGAGACAGCAAAGACCGCTACAAGCAAGGCCAGACCAAAGCCTCCCTCTCCCTTCAACATTTTCTGGGAGTTTACTCCGGTAATTATTTAACAATTTTCTATTATTATTACTATTCATACACCTACTTCCATCGGCTGACTTATCTGTTTTTAATCATCGAGCTCAATCCATAAAGCGACTTCTGGTTTTAAAATAGTCAAGGAAAAAGGTAAAAACTAATCATTTTGTTAACGCATATTTTAACAAGATTATACTCAAAATCTCTATTTCAATTTATTAATTTACCCAAATGTAATGTTAATTTAAATGTATTATGTTTTTATTACCAATCATTAATTAAATTTATTGGAAGAGTCGTCTAGAAAAGGTTTTTTCTTGTAAGAGTCTAGTTCATCATGTAGAATGTAGACAAAAGCCTTTGGTGATTTTATAAAGTGTGAATCCAGTCATCCAAACACTAACCAACTTCACTCAAAAACTGTACTTAACCAAACCCAGATTACTGTTCATTTTATGTTATGTAGGTACTTTAAAGAATGCTTGTTTTGTTTTGCAGGTTTTACGCTGGACAAAGAGTCCAACACGATCGCTATCATTTGTCAAGATGTAACCGTAGTTCTAGCCTTTGACACTAGAGAAAGACTCATCCAATGGCAGGTCAAGATAGCTAACAATTTGGGTGAAGGTAGTGAATCATACACTCTTACTGTATCTTTTGTTTATTTATGGTTTGGTTTTTCTAGTTAGAGCTCAATAACCTGTCTTCAGATAAATCATGCGTGCATTATAACAGGGTGTTTTCTGTTTATATTTGAAGATTATGCATTTTTGTCTCCTGTTGTGTTTGTGGTATCAACATTTGGAAAACTCCTTAATATAAATTAGTAAATAAGAAAATTATTTTCAATGGCATTATAATTTTTGCAGAATAACTATTTGTGTAGAACATTCCCAGGCCTACAGATATGCAACGCATAGATGTTCCCATTCCGGTACTTTCAAAAATGTGGTTTTCTGTACTCTATTATGCTATTTTCAAAAACCAAACCAAAAAAAGTGTGACCCTGGGAGTTTTATGAATTCTTTACTGGAAAAAACCAGTTCCAAAAATTTCATGGAATATGACCCTTTTTTCAAGGAGGGGTTTTGAGAAGAAATGGTATTCCTGTCTTGTCGGTTTTTAATTTTTTGCAAACATTTTTGTTTCCATACAAGATTCTGTAAATTTTTCAATGCATTTACTGTGAAATACACAATTTTCTTGAATTCGTCGAGGAAGAAGATTATTGAACAGGTCAGAGATTGTTCCCGGGAGGTTCCAGTTCTGATATCTCATATTACTTATAAATAAAATCTAGTTCAATCCTTTACAACTTTTTTTAGTTCTAACATAGTACCTAGTTCTAATAAAGTGCCTACTCGCTATCCTGTGGTTCCTCTTAAATATTCAATTGTATCATCATTTGTAATCTAATCATGTGAAACAAAAGGAACACTCTAAATAACTTTCTCTGTGAATCAAAATTAACCAAAGTCATATTCAATCCACAATGTTTGCATTTGGTTACGTTTAAAAATTCTATAAGTATGTGGGCTACTGATACAATAATAATTACCCAATATCAGCATCTCAAGTTGTAACATTTAAATTTTAATCTTAATATCTAATAGAGACTTAAGTCCTCTGGCTAACTCACTCACACAAAGAACATGACATTCAAAAATCAAGTTGATAGTGTTTTACATTCATAATTGAAATAATAGATCTCATGTTTCCTTTTTGTCTACAAGAGGCCTATCAGATTACTCCATGTTACAGATGAACAGTGGCTTGTGCAGATATCATCCGCCCCGCCCAGAGCCAAGGTCAGTCCAGGCCCCGCCAGGCTGCATCTACAAGAGCACCGCTTTTGTCTCACTGTGGGGGTGCCTCCCCGACTACTCGGCCACTGGCAGATACGACAACTCAGGTTAAACTACATCCTAGTGCACTAGACTCTAGCCTAAAAGGTCATTATCACATCACATACCTACAAGCCTTTGGTGATTGGCGGGATTAGAACCCAGAACCTGGGAACCAAAGGTTGGAATCCATTTTTTTAAAACAAAAATTGAAGTTTTCAGTTTGTAATGGTTGCAGGGGACAGTAATGATGTAATTGTGATCACTGGAGATATTCATGATATTATCTCGATCGCGGAGAAGTTCCAACTAAGGGACGGCTCCGGTCGTGTTAATTTGGCATAATTTGGTCAAAACAAGTACCCTAAATGCAGCACCGCTTTTTATTCGTATATTCAAGTTATCAATGAAAAAACTAAATAAATGTAAAATTGAACCACTGACATAGTGTGCTGATATCGTTCCCTGATTTCTGTTGACAGCGATTAATATTGAATTAATCCAACTTCAAGTAAACTATGTATTTTATCATATCATGATTACTTCTCTTATATATACAATAAAATTATCATAGTAACGTTAAGTATTAAAAACTAAGGGAGAAAATATAATTTTCAGAGAAGCACATTTTGTGAGTTGCTCATTCTACTACTTTCTAACTTGCTACATCTGGTCCATATAGATGGGGTGTTTACATAGTTATCTTAAAATTAATGTTCTGTTATATAATTATGTACAGGAGGTATGGACTAGTAGAGAACAAGTTCTGTTTCGAGGGAGGCTCGAGTTGTGGTAAAGGCGAAGGTCTGTACGTGTTAGTGACCGATCAGGGGGAGAACATCACCAGAGCATTCAAGATGGCTGCCGAGGGGAGACTGGCCGTCCGTAGAAGACCATTGGCTAGGAATATGTCAGGTTAGGAAACCCACCTATTGCCTCTGATTGCAGAATAGTTATTTGTGCAACTAATAGTGAGCAAAGGGAACAATTGACTCACTCGAGAGAAATACTTACTCACGAGCCGTAGGCGAGTGAGGAATGGTTTCTTGAGTGAGGCAATTGCACTTGCACTCGAGTTGCACATTATCTACAGTTACCATAAAACAAATAAATTTGTAAAGAAACGTGACATATTTTTACACAGAAGTGACGAACTTTTAATGACATTTAATGATACAACAGTACAACAGCTGACCAGCTGATTTACAGCCAGTGCTGCCAACGTATTTCGCGCGCATATGACCTTGTCTGCATGTTACGCGCTCACTATTTTGTGCCTTCCCTTCACGTTGCAAATCTGGAGTGAGACAATGTTAACATTGTCTCACTGATGAGCGAATTGGCCACTTTGCTTTCTCAAATCAGTGAGAGAACATGTACATTGTTTGGTAACTGTAGGAAAAAGTATGTATAGTGATGAACTGTTGGCAAAATGTGAATATATGGAAGCTTTTATGGAAAATATAGGTCTAGCATTGAACAAAACTGTTTGTTTTATTTTCCAAATAAATTAAATGGGTTCAGCTGTCCTTGATCATTGGGCTTTCAATAAAAATGGTCCTTATGGATAAGAAACAGCTGATCTTAATCAGAAACAATAATGTTACATAAGGTATGTTGATCTACTTGTTTCACCGCTTAAAAATTTCCTTATTGCCACTACTTAAACATTCTGTAAAGTCAAAGTCTTTCTTTGTTATTTCCACACAGTAAAAACAAAGCTAACTAGTTTCTTTCTACAAAAAATACAATGTGAAGAATAAGGCTAAAATCCAACACAGTTCTAGTTGATTTTCACTTTGTAGTGATGACGAGCCCCCGTAGATCACGTCTAGACCCGCGTGTGTCTGACCTAAGTTGTTTGGATGCCCGGAGTCGTCTGTCTACAGCTGACAGTTCCGTCGCAGACAGTCACAGCCATGATAGTCTACTGGGTTGGCCGTCTGCAGAGCTCTGGTCAGACTCATCATCCGTCTTTACCTACGCTCAGGTTAGTTTTTCTCATAAGTAGCCGAAAGTTATGATTAATTTGTACTCTTTCCATATATTCATTGGATATTTAGAAAGAGCTGTTCCATCCAAATTTTTGAGTCCCCCTTTGTGAGTGTGGATGTGTATACAGAGCTACAGCAGATTACTTCTGAGTTCCAACTTTGATGAAAATTGGTATGATTACTATTTAAGTGGTTATTCATTCACTTAATGCTTGCACTGATGTTCTTTTATTGCTTTAAGGTAATGTACTTTATCCAAGGTGATTTCCTATTATGGATATAAAACAAATGTTTTTCTGCAGAAGCCGAGCAGTTGGAGGGAGAGGGAGCGAGAGGCAGGAGAGTTAGAGAGGTGCTCCAGTTGTATTGGCAAGCTAGGAGTCTTGTCTCGGTCTTCCACCCTTACCACCAACTACGGTGAGTAGCTTCTGTAAATGTCTATGGTGGTTGTCAGGGTAAAACTGTGACACACTGAGTGTGATAACGGAGACGTTAACTCTACATGTATCAACATTGAACCATTGCATTTGAGATTTTGCACTAAAAGTTTCCATTACCACTCTATCATGGGTTATTGATGAATTCAATTGGTTCCATTGTCCATTTGGTTTATTGTGTTAGATTTTTAACTTTATTTAGTCAACTATTTTTTTAATAGACACAAAAAATTATTATTAGCCTACATTTTTTTTACTCAAATCACAGTCTTTTGGTTGTATACTATTACCCGTGTTTATGTTTAACTAAATATTAAGTTTTATGTTATAATGGATTGACAACAAGCTCACAATGATTTCAGGTTATATTTTAATTGTGATTTCTAAGCAAATGGTGCATGTTTTCAGGAGAGAGAAGACAGTTCACCAACGCCCCTCCATCTGTAGCCAGCAACTACGATAGAACAACAGTGTCTTCACTAGACTATTGGTGAGTGGGACCATACAGGGTGTTCAAAAAAGGTGGGAACATGATTTATATAGTGATTCCTTGGGTAAAAATAACAAAAAAGTTTACATAAACGTATATGTCCTATCTCATTTCATTTAGCGTCTGTCTGTAGGTATTTTTTTACAAAAGCATTCATAACTCCTTAACGGTTTGAGCTACAGGAATGAGATTCTGCAAATATGTTCCCAAATATGCCTTTAAAAATGGCAGCTATTTGAAATATTTTATGCAAAATTTCACAAAAATTAACCGTTAATTTTTTACAAAAAAATTGCAAGATCCATCAAATTTTGTTAATTTTATGGAGATTTCAACAATACCTCATTAAGCTTAGTTTGCACAAAGAATAATCAAGAAATTAATGCCTTCCTTTCTGTACCTACAGTACAGTTAAGTTGGTGTAAATGGAGAACTATTTACACAATGTTAAAACTATGGACTAATTATCGGTCGTCCCATACGCAAGTTTCCTCTGTACCTCAATGACGAAACACACATTTTTTGTGATATTGTTGATAGGTACTACAACCTTACTTGTTGCAGGAACCCTCGTAGCAGCACCCCTGGGAGGTCAAGAGCTGGCAGTGTGACAGTAGGGCGATCCTCTACCTCTACCCCAGCCAACTGTACCCTTCACATCAGCAGCCCCGCATACAGCAACTACGATGTGCCAAAACCACACATCACCAAAGTTGAGGTAGAGATGTCTTCTCTTTACATAACTGAAACATATGTTACGTTAGTTGTTTGTTGGTACTAGTATTACTATTGAACCGGACACCCGCCCAGACTCAAACTCTTTCCCATGTGCAGGTCGGGTTCACAATCAGTTACCTGAAGAAAATTCAGTTCAAGAACAAAAAGTGGATGGCGTGCATCAAACAATTTATTAAAGGAAGGTCCTTAAAAATATGTGGTAAATTAAAATTCAGATAACATGAATATCAAATAATCTACTGATCTGATTAAAAACCTAACCAAACAGGACCCAGGAGCATCCAGGAGTCAAACCCCGCAACCTGACTATGGCCTGGAGGTTGTCCTTTGCATTTCTATAAGTTGGCCTAAATAAAGCAGAGAGTGATTTTCCTCCCAGTTCCTTCAGCAAAATTGAGCGTTACTTCAAGTACAATTGCTGACTAAGAAAATCTGTTTCGTCGGCAAAGCTGAAGAAAAATTACTTAAATATAAAATAAACTAGCTGAACCCGCGGGCTTTGCCCCGCTTAACTTCATAAGTATTCGCATGGCTCAATCACGTCCTAGTTGAAGTTCGTTCGCTACGCTCACTCACCTTCAGGTTGGAAATCGTTCGCTGCGCTCACTTGTTTTCAGGTTAGCTCGTTCGCTACGCTTACTCGCCTCCAGGTTGATGTTCGTTCGCTACGCTCACTCACCTTTTGGTTGCAAATTAGCTGTTGTCATAAATTTTAAAAAGTCATCCCTTTTATTGTTTATAATACAGTACTTAGATAAAGGTTTTTATGTTTTAATATTTAACATTGGAGAATATAAACGTTGTTAAGTGCACAGGTGTGCTGCGATTGGGGTTTAATACATTTGGACTTATTCAAAAGTAAAATAGTTTTCTGTGCTGCAATCTGTAGAAACACTGTGGCACTATTTCAAATCATGAATAATGCTAATACAGAATGTTGTGATTATTCAAACCTACAAAACAGTTGGTGAAATTAAACATCTGCTTTTAAATTATATTTATTTGTAAACATAGTAGATCAAAAAGTCTGACATTGGCCCACTTAAAACCCTCTGGGGCATAGCCCTTTTGACGGATCTGCACCAAACTTTACTCGAACCATCCTTGAAAGATGCTTAATAATGCCTGAAAGTTTCATTACAATCTGTCGAGCGGTTTCGGAGTCCATAACGTATATACATACACACACACATACATAGTTCCTCTTTTATAGATATAGATTTCAACAATCACTTGATACAATGATATTTCAATGTTGTATGGTGGGAGGATGATGTTATTGAGTCAACTCAAATAGAACTTGCAGTTGATTAATACCAGCTGGCCTATTTACAAACATTACCACCTTCACCATTTCTATTTGCGTTGAGTATAACAATAGTTAAAGCTACCTGCATTTTTAGTGTTGTGCATCAAGGAACTAATGATTGTTTTCTTGGTATGAGCAAGTTGGGAGGAGGAGAGTACGACACTCCCCGCAGCATAAAGGAGAGTCTGCCCCCGCAGTGGATGCTGCAGACTACGGGGCCTGAGGAGCCGTGTCTCACCTGTGGGAAAACTGCACATCACAACACTGTTGCCAGAACAAGGTACTAGACATTGTTGCAATGAATGATGATCAGTTTTTATTTTCACCTTAAGCGTTTCATTACTAACAGTATTAATTGAGAGTTTGAATGATGTTCCAACCTAACACTACTCGAGGCATTTTTGTAATTTATTTATTGTATCTATGTATGTTGCAGTGTTGTAGTAGAGAAGGATGACTCGCACACTGCCATGTGCCCGTGTCAGAGAGTTATGTGTTGGGCTGGTAGTTGGATGAGGCTTCCCTATCTTCTTACTGGAGCCTTCCGAGCCAACACTATCACTGGCACTACAATACATAAAGTATGAATGATTTCATGTTTTTAATTCTCAATCCATTACTTTTAAAGTTGGTGAATAATGATAATCAAGTTCAGTACAAACATAAAAATTGAATTATTAAAACCTCACTAACTCCACTATTGACTTGGAGGTTGTCGTGTTATTTAGTACATTGAATTTTTTAATGGATTTTAATAATTAAGTTCATAACAGACTAATTTTTACATATAAGATTATTACTTAAATGAGTATTTTCACACATTGAGTAAACAATCTTCAAAGAAATGTTGAATATTAAATGTAGAATTTAAATTAAAACTAAATGTTCTGGAAAAATTGTTTATTTTTGCATGCACCCTGTCGGCTGTTGACTGTCGAGTTACCGGGTTTCCAGTTAGTGAGGTTCTACTGTACTAATAAACTTCTGGTTTATAAACCCACAGCTTTTACTTTTTTCTTAATTGAGGTACATTTTTGTACAATTTTAACTTGATTTCTTGTGTGATGAAATATATTACTCTACCAACATAGTTAGGTAAATCTCATTTTAACTTAAATATTGGGTGTAGCCTAATAGTTTTACTCCCAAATATTCAATCAATGAATAGCAAATATGTAGAGGGGCAAATACCGATGGAGACGTTTATATGATTCAAGTTCTATGGATGTTATCTTGCCCTTTGTAGCCATTTAAATTCAAGTTATACCTTTAAGGTAAAAAAATGTTTATTTTATTTCAGGTCAAGCTTGATGGAGAAGGTAAAATGCCGTTTGTCAACTGCAGAGGAGAGAACTATACTTGTGAAACATCCAACAACAATCAGATGAATCAGTCAATAAATGAAGGAGCGCAAGAAGTGGATGAATGTAATGATTCAGACCTGAAAAATTCAAAGAATCAATACGCTAATATTAAAGTAACCTCAAAAAATGCTGCTGATAATCCTGAAGTGGTAATACAAGAGCCAAAATCTATGTTGCCTTATGCCAACTTGGAGTTTGCCAAATCACTCGAATACTATGAAAATTCACGTGAACTGATGCAAAAGAAGGATGCTATAAAAAATAACGTTCATAACGGGCTTGAAAATATATTAGACGTAACTAGTAAAAGTTGTTGTACAAAATGTGGTCATGCCTGGAGAAATCTCCCTCCCAAACCGGGTCCTAAAAATGATGATTATTTAATAATGGAACCTGCAACGAATCATTCAACAAAATTAAGAAGTCAACCATCTTCTCCACTACAATCACCTGTTCATGAAAAGTTTTCTCAGAGCTATCTTCCCATGCTTCCATTATCAGGGAAAGCTGAAGAAATGCAGCACTTCAGGTTGCGTCAGTTAAATGAGAAGTCGCAAAGCACTCCGAGCTTACCAATACCGAGAAGAAAAAGTTTTACTAATCCGTCAATCCACGGTTCATCGGGTTACCACTGTATGTCAGAAACTAGCAGTCCGTATGTGAGGAGACGGTTGATGACCACAAGCACATTACCTCCAGAGAGAAAGGACCTTCTGATACCTTCTATAAGAAAGCGATCGAGCTCCATGGATTCTTCAAGATATCTCGATAATCTGGAGAGTATTGAAGAAAAAGTAGTCTCACCGACTCAAACTTTAGTAAACACGCCAACAATTAGTAATGCTACGTCTATTGATTCTTTATCGGACATTTCACTAAATCAAAGACCAATTCCGACAAGTAGCAGTGAACATGTATTATCCCGAGTTGACAATTCGGAATATGTCTCATGCAAGTCCAGTTTGAGAGTTTTAATCGAAGAGCAGCCTAGCAAGGCACTTGTAGAGTCTAGTAGTCATAATATAATTAATAGTCCAATACCACAAATAAAGAGATCAGCCAGTATTCCCTGCAAGACTGTATACAATAGAGATTCTTCCAGTTCAAATGATTCAGGTGTTTCTACTGGGTCCCTTCAGTTCCGCAGAAGGGACTTGATGGAATTAGATTTTTGTTCGAGGAAAAGATCTGTCCCTGAGAAACTGAAGATTGTTAAAGAAAATACTATAAACCAAAGGCACATTATAAGAAAATCCAAGTCTGTGGATCCATTCGAAGACATGAATTTTGAATTTGAAGAAATGAAACCTCCGGTGAAATCTTCTTCTGCTGGAGCTTCGGTACCTGTATGCACCACTCACACTGACGCTAAAGGTAAAAATATTTATACATTGTGCTTTATTAATGGCTTACGCTTTCACCTACAAATTTTGTTCTTGTGTCAACTTAAACACAGTAAAGGCGGGGACACACTTGTCATACACCCTTCCGATCCGACTCCGATCATACTGCGGTACGACTGTCGGAGAGGGGAATGGTACATAATATTGAACGCGGTTGTTCACACCTCTCCGACACGCGTCATGTCATACTCCGATCCTACTCCGATTTTGGTTCCGATCACGCACCGACACTGCAGTCTATTCGTTTGTCGGATGCAGGACGGGTTGTTTCTTAAAAATCACCTTTATTCTTAAGGTTTAAGAATATTGGTTTAAGATAAATATATTCCGATGCTTGATGTGAAATCTGTGCGTGCATATCTTCAATTTGAGACCTCGATCATGAAAATCTGACGAGTAGAAGAGCCAATCGAGCTCGAGAGAGAAAACCTAATGTGTTTAATATATATGGGCACTAAGTAAACAACCTAACTTTCATTCCATGCAGAATGGACCCAAATTCTCCGTTTTCCACTGCCCTCCAGAGATGTTTGACTTTCTTCCTCTTCATCTAGACAAACCACCATCATGGCTGAATCCCGAAGTCCAAAGTTTTTAAACATGTTTACAACTTTCTGCACGTAGTTTACAAATCAGACTGGCAAGTGTTGATCGACCGGTGGAGGAAATCTGAGATGGGTAGGAATCGTGTATGACATGTGTGTTCACCCCCTCCGATCCCGCACCGATCCTTCTGGAATCCCGCAAATCGGATCGTAGTAGGATCGGAAGAGTGTATGACAAGTGTGTCCCCGCCTTTAGTAGAACTTGTATTATCCAGGTAGAGTGAGTGTTGATAGCGCTGCCGCTGCAGTAGCTTCCCACAATTCTTTGTGTTCTGTTAAAGATGACACATTTTTTTCTATTTTCTTCTTCCTATTAGTTTTTTTTTTAACAAAGAAACAATTTCACTTTGAATCCAGCATAACATTCAAAGACTTTTGAAACATATAGAAAGAAGATAATTTATTTTTGTAAAAAAATACAACCGACTTCAAACGCTCTAAAAAGAATGAAATAATTTCAATAAAGTAAACTTTTGTATTAGGCAAGCTCACGTATTTTAAGTCGGCGCGGCTCTATGATGATTTTTGATACAAAATTGAAAGAGGGTGTCCATATTGCAGGTGACTATCTATAACTAATTAATTTTGGTTAATTTATCTGCATGTAATTTTCATAGTTATGTGTTAAGTGTTATTTTATTTCCGTAATCAGAGATCGGCATTATAGTGGTATTAACGAGTATCTTTAAAAAGATTATAACGCATTTAAATGTTTCTAACTTGGAAAATTAACGTTTTAGTACTAAACTAGCTTCTTTTCCCTATCATAATATCAAACTAAATTGTTTTCCTATGCATATAGAACATTTGTGTGTGTTATTTTCATAATGCACTTATTCTGAAGTAAACATAAAATACAAGAAAATATTTCTTTTAATATATAAACAAAACAGTTCAGTATGTTTTTTATATATTTATGTTATTCAGCTACAATTTATTGATTTTCAAAATACACACACAATATTTAATTTCAATCATATTTGCAGTTTGAGCCGCGCCGACTTGAAATACGTGAGCTTGCCTAATACAAAAGTTTACTTTATTGAAATTATTTCATTCTTTTTAGAGCGTTTGAAGTCGGTTGTATTTTTTTACAAAAATAAATTATTTCATGATTTTTAGTGACTGTATAATTTTTTATGTATTAATTACTTGAGGTCTTTTGATAAGCAAAACTGTTTGAAACAATCAAAAGTACCACAGAACAATCATTATTTTAAAACTGCTTGAGTCACGTGTTCAGGTTACATAATCAATGGGTATGAAAATAAACATTTTTAGATATTCCTTAAGAAAGAAAGAGTTGTCCATTACATTAGGCCTAATGAAAAACTAATTGTCTTTTCAAGATACATTGAAATGTCAGACATCATCGTTAATGTAGAAGTGTCAGACATCGTTTCCTGCAATCGGTGTACTTCTACATTATAAAAAGAAATACAGTAACATCTCAAGCCTTTTGGAACAATATGAAAGTTATTCCTCAGCCACCAGCACTAAAAAATCTCTCAAAAGTGGAAAATTGGTCGTTAACACGTATAGTACCTTTGGAAAATATTATATGAAAGATTGGTTCAGCTAAAAGTGGTGTAAGTCATGTAGGGGGTTTTGTTTGCTCAAGATATAGCCTAGTCGAAATTGCAAATCATCTTCCTCTAGGACTTTACGAAGCAGGCATAATAGTATTGATATGATATTGTAACTGGGTAGAGAATATCAATAAACATTCCATATCTGCAAATGCATGTTTAGTAATTAAAATATTTAACACTTTTAAGACAATTGACGATTATGCACTGTCACACTTCTTAGGTCGTGTAAGGAATAATTGCATTTAATTTATATTTAGACCTGTTTTACGAATGCTTTGGTTTTCACAATACACCTTTATTTGTCAATATCATACAGCTATTCACTGAAACATATATGTTTTTGTAAGTCAGAATATTCAATACTAATAAAAACAGAATTACTGTATACACAAATCAGGTCAAACGTTAAAATACATTTTTTATAGTAACCTAAACAAACTGCATTATTCTCAATGTAATTCATTTAGGCTCCATGGCAAGAAATAGTTTATTGATCAATATGAAGCAACTGTTTCATGAAGAATTGTCTGTAGCTTCATTTAAATGGTTTCAACTAACAGCTGTAGGAATGTTATTATTATTTATTGCCTTCTCTGCACAAATGTAAACAAAATAAATGTTGAATATTTAAGGTTTTCAGAATTTTTCACCGAAACAAATATTATACTTAAACATAATATATAAGGTACCAAATAGAAACTCTCCTGGTTATTTTGGTGGTGGAACCACACTGATCGGTAAAAGAATCACAGAGAAATTTGTGAACATACATAGAAAAAAAAAACATCGCCACAAACAAATTGAGAACCTCCTCCTTTTGTTGGTAGTGGGGGAGTCGGTTAAAAAATAGAAGAAACCCGAGTTATGGAGTACAAAGCTATCAACATCTACTCCTACACAGTCCGTCATCTTGATGTTTCAGTTGGTCTAAAGATGGCAACATAAATTGCCGAAATATATTACCTATGTTGTAATACGTATAATGTAAATGTTTAAGTGTTGTACGACACAATTTATGTTTTCTTTTTATTTGTTGAATATAATAATGTGAATGGCAGTTTATCTATGGAATAAAATACTTTAGTTCAATTTGGTTTTCGTAAGGACACTGATGAATATTGCACAATTTTAGAAGGACGTATTATCAGTTGTAACAATAATAAGATTCCGGTAAACTCTGTTTTAAGGCTTAACAATTGAATCTTGAAACACAAACTTTGCCAAAGTTTTAGTGGTTTTGAGATTCAGTGTTGATAGGTACATGTTTTCTAGTGTAATAAAGAGTTAAATTATTTCACAGGCTACCTGAGTCCAGGAGGAGTTCCTTACATAGATTCTCACAGCACCAGCAGTGGAACTTCGGACATGTCTGACTACATAGAGACATTGTCACTCTCCTCCTACACGTCTTCTGATACTCCTGACAGCTTACAGTCAGTATCTGTCACTTGCACTTGAGTGGGTAAAATACATAGATTTAACATCAATATTTACAACAGCATGAAGAAAGGATCAAAACCTGTTTTTACCATTCCAAATTGATCAGCTGATTTTTTTTAACCTACAACAATGAAACATTCACATTTTTTAAGTTGTGTTGATTTGAAATGGTTTTCAAAGCAGAAAAACTATTATTTTAACGAAAACATATTATTATTGGGGATGCGGAATACTATCCCCCGAAAAACTACCCCCCCAGGTGAAACGTGACGTCACAAAATCTGCCAACTAACCAATATGGAAGCCGTGTCCGCGACTGGAATACTACCCCCCCTAGACAAATCATGCTATTTAATTTTAATTTTAATTTGAGTAATTCCATTGGATTATAGAAAAGTCATGTGGTGAATATAAAACAGAATTTCGAAATGTTACAGCAAATTTGGTTGGTTAGGTTAGGTTAGATTAGAACTGTTTGACAACTAAATTTGAGTGTCCGTGACTGGAAAACTGGCCCCCCGGTCTCTGACGTCAATATGACGTAGGAACCTGTTTGGGGGGGTAGTTTTCCGGGGGGCAGTCTTCCGGCGACCCTTATTATTTTGATGCTCTGTCATTTTTATCAGATTGGAGCTTGGGGGATTTTTTATATATAAATATTTGCTGAAGCTCTGGAGTTTAAAGTTTGTAGCACAGTTGATGCATCATGAATTTTAGTTAAATAATACAAAACTCTCTGTGGGACACCCACAGAGTGTATCATTTGTGCACTTGAATTCTGTGATACAGTGATATAATCATCTTTGTAAGCGGTTTGTAAATAAAAAGATTCAGGATATTTTTCCCCCATGAATAAATATTTAGCCATAACTTGTTGCCATTAAAAAATATATGTGGGAAAACAACAAAAACAGTCCTGGTAATGGAAAGCAATCAATGCAGAACAGAAATAACCAGGTGGATGATGGGTTTACTGAATTGGTAAAAGTGTGGCTACAAAGCAAAGCATATTTCTTTACATTTATTTTCTGTATTTCTTTAAATCTATAAACTTTTGACTATTCGGTTAAGTAACTGCTTAGCAGCCATTCCAGGCTTTTCTATTGTAACTCTATAAATTTGTATTGCAGTTAGTTTGAATTTTAAAGTATTTTTTTATTTCCTTCCCCAACAGATTGAACCACACAACAATCAACACTATGAGGCCAAGGTCTGGCAAAGAGTATCACACCATCGACAGGTTCAATCTCAAACCTCAGGTAACAATTAACTTAATTCTTCAAAGAAGGACTATTGTTTATTTTTTTTACTATTAACTACTATTAACACTCCGGAGGTTCACAATATTGGTTATGAATAGATGGGATTGTACTTTTATTTTCAACTAGCTGTGTACCCGTTCTACGCACGGGGATCTTATAGTATTCAGTTGAAACCTTATTATATAAAGAACAGCAGTTGGTTTGCATATTTTCAGATATGCTGGCCAAACTATTATACATAACTTCATTTTATGTTGTTTGATGTTGTTCCGGATCGGTATGACAATCAATATAAGGTTAAATTACCTGTGTCCGCCGGTTGATCCTAATGTATCCTATTACAGGAGATTAAATTAATTATTAAATAATTATACTGAGATCATGAAAGGTTGTGTATTTCTATTTTTACAAAAACTCAATCAAAATATCAAACAATAACACAAAACATATGTTGAACAATTACCATATGTTATTAAAATATTAACTACTACTGTCATCCCTCCTTCACAAGTCAAAATGATTTGGTTTTCTTCTAATCCTTTCCCCTCGTCTTACAACAGGAGCTGAGTCATTGTTTTGTAATTCTGACCTGGACGATTGACCTTTATTAACATCATGGGAGATTCTGAATGACTTGTCTCTTCTTAGGAACCATGAGTTTCTTCGGTATTCTCGTCCATCACCAGTCTGGATTTTGTACGATCGAGGTTCAGGACCAACTTGAACAATCTTTGCTCTCAGCCAACACTTTGGTTTGAATCTGAAAAGCACTGGTTCATCGAGTTGAAACTGATCAGGCTCTGTCTTCCTCATATCACCGTATAGCTTCTCTCGTCTTTTAATTTTTTCTAGCTGTTTTGAAACATTTTTTATGACCATCGGAATAAGGTGGTTGGTCGTAGATGGAAGTAGAGTCTTTGTCCTCCTACTCATTAGCCGCTGAACTGGGGAACCTAGGTTACCTCTTGGTGTGTTACGGTGATGAAGAAGTGCAAGATAAATATCGGACTGTTCTTCTTGACACTTGACAATTAAGTTTTTTCCTTCTTGGACATACCTCTCCGCTAGCCCGTTGGATCTTGGAAAATGAGGAGATGAAATTCTATGATTAAATTTCCATTCGGATACGAATTTAGTAAATTCCATAGAAGCAAAACATGGTCCTCCATCAGTTCTTAGTTCATCTGGAATACCATGAGTTGCAAAGTACTTTTTTAGGTGTGTAATAACAGTGATGCTACTTTTGTTCCTAAGATTTTCACACTCAAAATATCCTGAGTAACTATCAGCAACTACTAAGAAGTCTTTACCTCCACATTCAAAAACATCAGCTCCGATGAACTGCCATGGCCTCACTGGTACTGTTTCTTGAAGGATCACATCTTGAGGTTTATCTCGTTGATATTTGCTGCATACATTGCACCTTGCTACATGTTGTTCAATATCTTTTTCCATATTAATCCAATATACATAGTCACGTGCTGTATTAATTGAACTTTGAACACATTTGTGAGGACGGTGAATATTCTGTAACACTTCAAGTTTCATTTCATCAGGTATAATCAAACGGCTTCCTTTAAACAAAAGACCATCATAGCAACTTAGTTCTTCTCGGAAAGTGAAATATTTTACTAATTCCTTGTCAACAGTGCTTCTTTCTTCGGGCCATCCATTCAAGATCATTTCCTTCAATTTAGAAAGCTCTGTGCATTTTCCAACACTAGTTCTGATTCGAGAAACTGTATCAGAAGACATAGGAATTATCAACTGAATATCAAAGCTGTGAGGTTCATCATCTTGGTTGTCATTGTAGCAATCTCTACTCAAGGTGTCAGCCAGATGAAGCTCACAACCCCTCTTGTAGACAACTCTTGGTCGATACGGTAATATTTCCAAACACATTCTTTGGATTCTGGGAGGAGCGTCAGACAACGGTTTCTTAAAGATAGCATCTAAAGGCTTATGATCTGATTCAATAATCAACTCCTTGCATCCCCATACATACTCATGAAACCTTTTGCAAGCAGTCAGTATTGCGAATGTCTCTTTTTCAAGTTGACTGTAGTTCTGTTGCGATTGAGTCAATGCTTTGGAATTATAAGCTACGGGCTGCCCAGATTGTAACATAACAGCACCTACTGCATAACTGCTTGAATCCACAGATAGAGTCACAGGAGAGTTAGGGTCATAGTAACGAAGCACGGGAGTTCTTTGCAGTTTTTGCTTTAACTTGTTGAATGCTTCTCGTTGTGGTGTATCCCAGAACCAGGCCACATTTTTCTCAGTGAGAACTCTTAGAGGTTGAGTATCAACCGAAACATCTGGTATAAACTTTGATAAGTAAGTTATACAACCTAAAAATCTCTGAAGCTCAGACAAGCATGTGGGTTCCTTCATTCTTGAAATGGCTGCTACTTTGTCAGGATCAGCTTGTAACCCTTGGTCTGAAACTATGTGACCAAGAAATTTCACCAACGGTTTGGCAAATATACACTTTTCTTTGTTAAGTGTAAGTCCTGATTCACTCAGCTTTGTCATTACTTCATTCGTGATCTTTTGCAAATCTCTTTCATTGTTACTGTGAATGAGTATATCATCCATTGAACACTCTACATTCTTAATTCCTTTGAGCAAGTCTGACATAATATACTGGAACACTTCAGGGGCCGATACCAAACCAAAGGGCATGCGTAAACAAGAGTAGCGCCCCCAAGGTGTCGAAAAGGTTAGTAGTTTGGATGTTCTCTTCGTAACTTTTATCTGCCAGAACCCTTTTTTACAGTCTAGGATGGTGAATAAAGTAGAACCATTCAATCTAGCTGCGATGTCCTCTAATGTAGCCAATGGGTAATGTCTACGCTTTACATTTTTGTTTAGATCAGTTGGGTCAATGCAAAGACGTATTTTGTCTCTTTGTTGCACTATGACCATAGGAGACACACAAGGAGTAGGCTCACTTACTGGAATAATAATCTTGTCTCTTACCATTTGGTCAAGTTCTGCTTTCACTGCGTCACGTATTGGATGAGGTATTCGCCTGGGTGGGTGTATTTTGAAACTAGGATTTTCCACAAGATCAATATCATACTCAAATGACTTTAAACATCCTATTCCATCATATAAGTCACTTATAGACTGATCGACTATACCAGCAACCCGTTTGACGAACCCTAGTGTTTCACATGATACTCTTCCTAATATTGATTGATGCCCATTTGGAACTATTACAAACAAGACAGTGTCTTTATGAGACTTTTTGGTTACAACTGGACAAATGGCTTCACCCAAAACTGGCGTTTTTTGGTTGTTAAAAGAAACAAGGCATTTAGTAGCAGAAGGTACAATGTTAAGATTACAAGCTAGAGCCAAATCATGGGAAATAACCTTGCACTGAGCCCCAGTATCTAATTTAAACTGCACAGTTTTGTTATTTGGCAATTTTAAGGGTTCTGTCCAATCTTGATTCTTGACTGGGTTAGAGATGCAATCAACATGCAACGGATAATCAGAATCTTCATTCTCTACAACCTCTAAAACATCAGTATTTTTACTCTTACTAGGGAGATTCTTTCGAGTTTTACACATCTTAGCAAAATGACCTTTAGTCAAGCATTGATTGCAAGTTCGATTAAAAGCTGGACATTGGCCTCTAGAGTGTTGTAAACCACAACGTTTACAGTCAAAGACTGAATTTTGTAACTTAGGCCTAGAAAAGGAATCATCCCTCTTTACGACATTAACATTTTTAGGGCTGTCAGAGGATATTTCTGCTAGTTGTTTCTTAGCTTGTTCATGTGCCCTACACTTACTAATCGCATCATCTAGGGTAAGGTTATCAGTAGAAAGTAACTTTTCCTTTAAGCTAGAATCTGATATGCCTATTACTATTCTATCTCTTATCAAACTGTTTTTTAGCTGCTCAAAATTACAAGAATTAGCTTGGTTAACCAATTTTGTAAAAAAATCTTCAAAACTTTGATGGGTTTCTTGGGTGATTTTGTTGAACAAAAATCGCTCAAATACTTCATTAGATTTACCAACAAAAAACTTATCAAATCGTTGAACAACTTCATCCAATTCAATATCTTCATCATCAATGAAACCAAAACTGTTATATATATCTATAACATCTGGGCCTAAACTAGACATAAATGATGCTACCTGTACTGCATTTGATCTCCTATCAAGGCCAGAAGCTGTGTAGTACCAGTTCCACTGTTGCTTCCATTTCTTCCAAGAAGGAGCCATCTGAGTACTTGAAACCACAAGACATTTTGGTGGTTTTACATTATTATCCTTGTCTTCTGTATGGTTTGAATGGATATCATCATCTTCCTTAAAGGCATACCTTTTATTTCTATTCCGTGTGGGTTTCGGCACCATGTCATTAAATTAATTATTAAATAATTATACTGAGATCATGAAAGGTTGTGTATTTCTATTTTTACAAAAACTCAATCAAAATATCAAACAATAACACAAAACATAAGTTTAACAGTTACCATATGTTATTAACATATTAACTACTACTGTCACATTTCGGCGAAATTAAATCGCCATCATCAGTCCTAATATAAGGTCTTGAGCTTCCCCATTAGGTGCATCTTGGAGTTTTTGAAACACATACACGAACTGTACACTTATACACATGTCGAATAAAACATAAATACATGGTAGACCTACTTTTATTTTTACTATGGACATGTAGACGTGCGTCGGTCGTGTGCCGAGTCTCGACTGAAAACGCTCATTTAAATGTAAGCCATATACAAGAACAATTTTATACACAAAGAATCTCTATTTTCATTTACGGTTACCCTACAAATTATTGCACTTGCGATTAATTAAATCCGTTATGTAAGGAAAAACGTTTTTAATCTTACTTGGTTTGGATTTGCTTTCAAAACGTGATCGGAAATGGTTGCGGTATTCGTAAACAACATTCAATGTAAACATATTAGTGACAGCTAGAAGAAATAATCTTGATTCGAACAGCTGTTTGTTATTTTTCATAGATGAATATGTGATAAACATTGGAAGTAAGCTATACAAAAAATTGCACAAAATTTGGTTTTTAAACGTCCGTCATTTTATTTACAAAGTAGTGACGCCATATTATAATGGCTAAAGACAATCTCGCCAATCCATTGAATACATTAAAATGATTTGGAACTTGATAGGTACTCTCGTTTTTCAGGAGAAGGCCACGTAAAATGGCTCTTGGGCCGTGGCAGACAGGAAGCCAGACAGACAGAAATTTAGATGAGACTTGTTTCGGTTTCTTTAATGTATAAAACGTAAAAATAACCTAAAAGTTTATGATTCTGAGCAATGTACAGACAAAACTCTAATTTTATTTATATAGATGGGGCAGGATTTTTCTTTTTTTGCTACAAGAGAACCTTATTTACGCTTTAAGATCTTGAATTAAATTTCTTGCAAATTGCAATGACAAACAATACAACAATAGCTATTTGTGTAAACAGCGCAAGGTACGTCATTGCCGCTTGAGAACTGTAGTTGGCCGCACAAAGCTTTAGCTGAGTGTTGCAATACAATTTGAGAGCAGCAATGACCGTTTGTCATCGTAATACACACAAGAGTTTTCGTGTTACCATCGCCGACTGGACAAATACCATCACGAGAATAAACCAAATTAACGTTCTCCGTCCAAAAATTGAGAATATATTTTCTAAAAATGTTGGGACCAGTCTACCCCTAATAACATCACAAATTCACAATTTACAGTCCCTGTAACATACCTAATAACATCCCTGTAATATTCATGAATGAACTCGTCTTTAACGGGCAGATTTGTTAGGTATTGAGTATTGACCATCAAGAAAAATATGCAATAGGTTTTTTATTTTTACATGTTAACAAACACGTTAACTTTTTTTCAGATCAGTCAAACATCAGGAATCAAGACTTGTGGAACTATAAATGAAATGCAGCATACCAACTCGCCATAAACTTGAATAGATTTTTACCAAGAGTAATCAAACCTACTTATAATTAATAATTATCAAACCTACATAAGTAAGAAGGTAATTGATAATTTTTAAGGAAATTGACAGGAAATCAGCTTTACCAAAAGTCCATGGAGACACATATAAACAACACCAAAGCAGTTGTTTACAATGTCTCGCTACTTTTGTGTTGTTAATACGTGTCTCTATGGACTTATTTAGATGTAAGCCTGCTTTCCTTTAAATTTCCTAATAAACCATTCCTGGCTAATACTCTATCTTTTAATTAGATAACCTTAAAGTATTTGATAAGAAATGGATAGTGTTTATTGTAGGCTACAATAATGACCAAAACTATGTGTTTAATTAATGTTTGTCATCATTGCAGATTGTAGCTAACCTGACAATCAATGATTACCTAACACAAAAAAACTGAAAATCTGAAACTCATAAGTTTATCCTGCTGTTGTGTGTATGAGTAATTTGTTTGGATATAAAATTTAAACATAAAGAAAAGACATGCTCAAGAAATTAAATCCCGATTTAGTTTGTTCATTATAAATCCAAAACTTTAACTTAAATTTGCTTATTTCATCTAACATGGCCCAATCCTGGAGAGCCACTATTATTGAAGAGGAAAAAACATGTTAATTACGTTTTTACTGTAATTTAAGCTTAGTTTAAAAGTTAGTGATTGAAGAGTAAGTACATAATAAGCAACAAATTGTGATACTCGTGTATACCAAGTGTAAATAGATATGATATAGTAAGTGTGGATTTTGTACAAATTCCGTTGTGCCATAGCGATTGTAAATATATTCTTATAGTACACAGGCCTAACATTTTACATGCAGTATTGATGTTTTGTAAGTGTGTTTATAATATTGTACCAATAAACGTGTGAATTGTGGTCATATTTATACCTGATTCCCTTGATTCTCTAATTTATATTAGTAACTCACATACAGCAGTGTTGTGTAAAAAAAAGTAATTTCACTGTAAAGGCGGCTCCAGACATGCACCATTCGCCAAGCATCGAATAGCGAGTTAAAGCCAAGAGTGAGTTATACAATAAGCCAAGAGAGCAGAGTTGTGTTTCGAGGTCCCAGGTTCAAATACAGTCAATCACTAATGGATTTTCTCTGATTATAATGCAACCTCTGGGCCTAGCCTGAAGCAATGAGATGTGAAAAACAGTTCCGGGCTAAAACAAGAGTGTCCTAGGATGTGAAGGTGAGACATAAAGAATTATTACTGTATTGGATCAAGAGAGAGTTGTTTGTAGTGTTCAAAAACAAGCCAGTTATCCTTAAAGACCATTACACCTTACGTACAGGATGAAATCACTAGGATAATTTAAAACCAATATATTAAAGTCGTTTATTATAATTTATTAGAAATAAAACATTTATTCTCTAACATATCTTTATACACTCGCATAAGTTAAGTCTTCTGTTGCAGAAAACAAAATCCAAATCCAGGACAAATCTAAACAATCCAGTTTTCCTTCTGGAGATAAAAAGACGGTCAAAACCATATATCGGATAACAAAATGAGTACTCACACTGGAGATCCGTAAAAAAGCTGATTGATTACGTCAATTATATTGATCTACAAAAACCGAATGATTTATCTAAATTTGTTGAAGTCTGTCTCTTCACTGTACACTGTGTATGTGTTTTCACACTAGCTTCACTTAGGCCATGTAGTTGTACTGGTTTGGGTTGTCCTTGTCCCGCTCCATGTAGTCCCGATCTATCAGAGACTCGATCCTCTTCTTCAAATCAGCAGGCTGTAAAAAACAATAAATATGAATACGATAAGCAGAGATTGATTTTGATTGGTTACACCAATCATTAATAATTGACATAATGGAAACTTATTACTGTTTAGTATTCATAGTATATTAAGCTACAACGCTGGGATTAGATGTATACAGTACAAAGCATGATAGTGATGTGACGAAGCGGATGTGAGGGATTGCCCATTCTTCCAGAGAACAAAGCTGGACAATATCTTATTGCCTTGCTTGGATTAAGCTTTGTGAAGGGGAGATTATGTTATTGTCTATTTTAAGGTATATTTTGATTTTCACAAGTTTGCTGCACTGAAGAATTTTTTCCAATTCAAAATATCTTTTGCAGAAGAACTAATAAAATGTTACTTTGGTGATTACCTTGACTGGGAACTTGAGCTGGTTGTACAGTTCGGTGATGAGTAGGTTGTGACTCAGTGTCTTCCTCATCTTCATGATCCTCACAATGGCTGCGTCAATCTGATACTGTCTGTCTTGGAACACACGTTCTTCTGTCGCCTTCTGTTCTTCCGTCTAAAACACAAACACACCATGATAAAGTAATACTGTTCAAATTAAATCAGTCCCATATCTAACTAATAAAACTTTCTCAGGTTTCAGGTACTGTTTGTTTTTTAATAATTTTGTATAGCCTAAAATGTACAAATAATTTGAGGGAACCAAGATTTTTCAATTTCAGCAATCAAATTGATCACTCCCACGCTGAAGTTCTAAATGCTGACCATTACAGTAATAAAATACCAGACACAATTTTTACACATTACCTTCACCAAAATCCTTATCAGCATGTTGTTTCTCATTTATAAGAAATCATACGGTCTGGAACATTCTGGATAACTAAGTTTTCTGGAAAATAAATAGGATTCATCGGTCACTCACCATAGAATAAAGGTCTTCAGGCAACGACCATGTTAAACTTAGGTGAAGAATAGGATATTTTAAGTTAATAGCAAGCTTACCTGAATGGGAAAGAGTCCACACTATTTGTGTGTTTGTGTATTGTGTTTCTAGTGCCAGTTTGGACTCTTTCCCATTCAAGTAAGCCTGCTATCCTCTCAAAATATCCTATAAACTGGCCCTTGTGCCCAGTATGTTGTCGAGTTTGACATGGTCATCGCCCAAAAAGGTACTACTTTTTTGGAACAGAACTCTACGATCAGATGGAGGATGGAGATTACATTGTTGAAATAATGGTACTGTACAAGGTGAAAACAAACAAAAGAAACACAGTTTGTGTCACTAATATGGTTTGGCTTCCTTAAGAGTGATAACATCTCTGTAAATGGTTTGAGGAAAGCACCATTCTACTTTCATTAAACATTACCGTTTCTTTCATCTGGATCTGGTTGATCTTGATTCGGAAAAGCTTGTTGGTGAACTCAGCGTTGAAGAAGAACTTGTCACCATCCTCCACATCTCGTCCCCTAGGTGTCTTGGACAACACTCGGGCTCGGCCACACGCTAGCGACTGTAACGTTCTCCTCAGCTCTCCGTCCTGATGGGTATAATCAACAAAATTACTCACCATGGAGTAACACAAAGTTACTCATCAGTTTCTCAAAAGCTTAAACATTCAAGACAGTACCAGACAATACAGGGTATCTACCAGTTGATTAAATTCCAGTGACTGTAAGGAGAATGATTACATTATAACACACACACATTGAACTTACAACTGGTTGCCTGCTACATTCAATATTGATAATTCTGCATTTATCTTATTATTTTAGTTGTGTGTATCTATGTCATAAGCATTTTTTTACGTTTTATGTAAGGCAACAGTCTTGTTACTATCTAACGTCAAACTTTTTATCAGATAACATCATTGATTGATAGCCTAATGACAAATGGCATCTCAGTCCAGTAACGATCTCGCTTGGAAACGAACCAGTTCATTATAAATCAAATCACTGTCTGCATTCTTTAAGCATAGCACAAAACAAAAGACAAGTCTAACTGGTTTTTGGCTAGGTTTGATTTTTCCTGTGACTTTTGGAGCCTTAAAATTAAAATCCGTCACTTTTCAGCAACTTCTAGGACCCTCTGGTTAAATCAGTGACTTTGTTTAGGCTTCAGTGATTTCTGTAATTAGTAGACACCAAAAAATTTAATCAATATGAATTGTAAATGGAAACAACAAAATATAGACACAAGCTTTCACCTCAATGTTGGTGCCAGCTTTTATCTCCTCCAGGCTGATTTCATCTTGGTAGTTGAACAGCAACAAGACGAGAGCTTGAAACAGTGACACTTGTAGTTCCTTGCGTCCTTGAGTGAACTCTGCCTTCAGAACACAATGGCCCAGCGTTGGCTGCCACTGTAATAGACATATAACTCACTCTTAGACACAATAACACTTTTTACATACTGCCTATACAGAAATCAGTTTGTAATAACATTTGCCCTGTTCAGTTTTTTTTATTTTATTTTTTATATACTTCCCTTTTGTATTATACCCTTCCATAGTTAAACTATTCTATTGGTTAAGGCATTTCCCAACTAATCAAATTGAAATTTGTACCTGAAAGGACAAATTCTCAAAGGTGTATCAGATTTTATTGAAGGCTGTACTTGTAATTTCTGTGTATCCAACAAACATTGAGACTAAATTTAATCTCTGGAGCATTATTGTAATTATTCTTACAGAGTCAACTACAAAAACAAGGTCAAACTTTTTCAATGAGGTACCTGTAGTTTCCTGCCGTTGTGTTTGCCCAGGTAGAACTTGTTGAAGTGGTCCTGGTATTGGACCATCTCAGGAGGTAGTGTCACCTCCAACACTGGATAGGTCGGCCAGTAGCCCATGGTCAAGATGCTGACAGTCAGCTCAATGTTGGACACTGACAGATTCCTCAGGTTGCCCATGTACTACAAACAAAACTCAGGTTACCGGGACTGACCAAATGTGTTCAAATTCTTAACAAGAGTTCCCAGATGCAGATTACATTTTCATTGCTCGCTCTTTAAGAATAAGATCATTTAAATTTCACACGATAAAAAATCTATGAATACTACTATCTGACTGAACTGTATCTTTGGTAAAAGGGGTAACAGGTGGCTTTCCTAAATTACATCTAGGCTATAGAAGACATGTAAATTGCACAATATTTCTTTGTCTAGGGGACTGGCACACACTGCATATGTGGTAACAGCCAAGACTGCAGCCATTTGGGAAACTTTTTGTCTAGACACATGAAAAAGTCTACCAGGGTACATAATATTGTGTGTTTTATTTGTCTTCTGTAAGTTCTACCAGTTGCATACCTGTACAGCTGTATAGCTGCTATTCCTTAATTCTACAAATCAAAGTTCGGGCCTCAAACCTTTCCTTTTAAACAAAACTATTTACTGGGAAAAACTGAGTTCCTGTTCATAGTTTTATGAAAGGAATGTTTTTTTGTAATATTGCCTTATTTGTATCATGAAGAAAAAAAATGTTGGATCAAATAAACTTAACATAAAGTAAACGCTATGTTACTGCTGAACTGCCTTCATGTCTTAAAGAGATTAATTTCAGTGAAGGAGGGTTTTTTAAATCAACTCTTTTGTAGTCTAAAAGTAAAGAGTCTTTCATCCTAATGTCAGTAATCCTATCTCTTGTTAAAAAATATTAATGCTATACTTAAAATTACCATGGTACAAAATTTTAAACAAGATCCTTATGATGCAGGGGTGGTAATGAAAATCAATGGTAAAGTATCACTAATGTAGGCCTACCTGTTTGAAGGCCACATTGATATCCTTGCTAAGTTCCATGTCTTTGAACATTCCCTCCAGTTTGGAGGTGAAGCCTCCACCACATTCCTGCTTCAGCTTAGACAGCATGGACTTCTCTGCATCTACACTGGCGGACTTGCCTACCAGCAACCTCTTGGCCAAGTCCTGACAATCAATCAAGGTCATCATAATCACAATGTGAATAATATGGGATCATCTCATAACTCCAAGGTTTCACAACTCCAAGTGATCATAACTCCAAATTATATTTAATCCAAAGTTTCACAACTACAAGTACCCGAAAAAGGATAATTTCATTACTCCAAGAAAAATATAAGCGCAAGTGATCATAACTCCAAAGTTTCATAAGTCCAAGTGATCATAACTCCAAGTAAAAATTAAACCAGAGTCTCATAACTCCAAAAGTTGAGTGGAGTCTCATATCTCCAAGTGGAATGTGTAGTACAGTCAGCGCCACAAGTTCCTGCGCTGTCCACTCCGCTGTAAGTAATGCCACACTAGGCTGTTTCTGTCGCGCGATGATAATCGCGACGGGAATAGTCGCTGAGGGGTGCCACATTGACGCGACAATAATCGCGGTGTCACGACGTTTTTTGTAGCGCAAAAATTGACCCGGGGTGCCACACTGGTGGTAAAAATCGTCGGCTTTGGCAGTTGTCAAGGATCAAGTTTTAATTATATTAGTTTAACCAAACAAAAAACCATTTGTTATAAAAAATACAACGATCTAAAAAAATTATCACAAACCTACATATTATTTTAAAGGAAATTGCAAAACTCAACTGCATTATAAATTAATATTATTGAACACCAGAAAATATCTTAAAAAATGCCTTTACTTATTTATGTAAATGTAAATACTACTAACACTTAACCAAAAGCTAGATGAAAATAACCACATTACTTTCATTATTTGACAGTGTACACATTAAGGGTTTCCATTGTTTCCAATTTTGTGTTGCAAGAAACATCGTTACCCCTAGGACTGCCAATAACCGATACCGTATGTTTCAGTTCGAAAGACTATGACAACATACCTTAGTGTAGCAATAACACAAATAAGGTCCTCGATATCAATGCTTCTGTTTCATTCAATAAGATGTTTTATGACATTTCTTCAATTTGAGTCATGCCTATTTATATGTTATTACTATATACATTACAAATAAAACTGTGAGCAATACTCATAAAAAACTTGTACAACCTTTTTTTGTCCGAACATAATCCCCCAGATGAACATATTTCCTAGCATCAAAAACATTTTTTTCAAGTAAATAAAACAAACGCCAATTAATTGCATTGCCCAGCTCTTTCATTAAATAAACAGAATTAAATTATTCAAACTGCGAAAGCATAACAGACGTAGCCCGTTGAAATCGGCCTATGGGGACCTGAGAAATTAGTCCATACCTATAATATTCAGCAAATATGCACATTCTAAGCTCAAGTTTGATGTGCAGTATGCCTATATTTTTATTTGGTAAACTGCCATAACCGTTTACATTTAATTTGATTGTATTTATATGCAATATTTATATTTATATTAATATTTATAGGCCTTTCTTACTTAAATTTACATTTTTTAAACGGGCAGTTCAGAAGACGGGGCACGGAAGCCACGTCATGTTGGTAACATTGACAATTCGAAGTAAGCGGCAGGCAGGTTGCCAGTATGGATACTAAAAAAGTCCCACACGCCCCTGCTCGCCCCTCCACGCAACTCTCCATCAATTCCAGAACATGAAAGGATCTATAATGTCATATGGGTTCAAGTTATGACCAAATGTTACAGGACCACTTTTGTTAGCTGTATTGTTCTACACCTTTTAATTTTCTAACTCTTCTCTAGAGTCATTATTAAAAGAATTAATAAATATTTTCGTAATGAGCGACATTTCCTGCCTGTATGCTAAACGAAACGTGATACGTAGATCTATATAATTAATACGCGAACACGAAGTTTGTCGGTTGAACTCCTCCGTCATTTCTTGACCGATTTTATCCATTGACGTATCATTGGAAAGAGCGTGTCGCGTAGATTTGCAAACTGGTCTTGAACTGGATTTGAAAAAGTCCCTTGGGCTCTACCCCAGTGGCTTTGAAGGTCCCCATGTTATCCTAATGAAGATCATAATTGTTAAAATTTTGATCAGCTATATAATTTAATTGCTGTCAATATTTAAGCTGCATTTCAAAGAAAAGCGTCCTACAAAAATTAGATCTTTAAAAAATAAATCATTGAAAGAACCCATTTGCAAATTATTGAAACATTAAAAGTCATAGAACGCCCCCTAGTAGAAGAAATAGAGATAATATTTTTTTAAAGAATTAACTATCGTCATTAGCCTGTATAATGAAGAACACCTACAAGATTCAGATTCCTACAAACTATGAACGAGGATGTTAGCTGAAGTGCTACAAATTTTATTATGAAACATGGACTTAACTTTGTGATCATTGTAGAGGAAACCCCTCTAAAGCCAAATAAATCTGGTACGTCAATGACATTAATCTATGTTTTCATAAAAGTCAAACAATTTTAATAATAGCCTATGAAAATATCCAAGAGCCCCTTACTAACATTTTACTGAAGGCTTTTAATTATTATTCATATAATGCCAAGGGAAACAAAAATCAACTGAACGACAGAAGGTCTTTAACTTTGCATTTTCTCAGTTAAATATAATTAACGTTATTGCAACTAAACAAAAAATACACCAATTGAACAAATAAAATTGTGACAGAAAACAGGAAGTCCTTATGGTGATGAAAACAGATTCTATCCTTATTAAAGAATGAATGAAATTTGTAAACTTACTGCTGGCGACAAGGGTGGTAGCATGCATAGGTTTATCAATAATGAAGATAAACATGGACAACCTTATGCGGCTATATATATATTTAGGAAATGTTGATTACTGTTATGTACATCGTGAGTATCTCCATATGATACACACCAGTAAGCTTAATATTAAATATAACTGGTTAACATTGATTAACATTGATAAAATATTTGATACAGTATGGGCCGGTTTCGGAGCTCGGGACTAACGCTATTCCTGGACTAAAATCCAGTTCAAACCAGTTTTTATTCTAGGACTAAAAAATCGGGTTTCGGAGCTCCAGGATTACGCTAGTCAACGACTAAGTCTATTCCGAGAGTTGCATAGTCCCTGAATTACTCTCATGGGTTTCGGAGTCACGGGCTTCTTAATCCTCGAATTAAATGTTATTCGATCGGGTTTCGGAGCCAAATATATAATCCACAACTGGGCAACAAAGACTAACTCGAGGAATAAATATGAGCAATTTTTAGTCCAGGTGGAGGGCAGGATTAAGGGGCGGACTAACTTAACTTTTGGTGTAAGTACTCAATTTGTGAAGTTGTATCTATATAAATATCAAATTCTTAATCGGCATAAAATTTACTGGCAATTTCATTCCTCTTGATATTTTTCCTTAAAATTTTATTTTTCTCTTAAGTATGCAAAATCATCTTTGAATGAAACCCGTTTATCTACAATTTATGCTCAAGACTATAATAGGCCAAACGGTCCCTAAAATTAATATTATAAGGTACTAAACGTAGATTTTAAAATAATAATATAACGAAGACAGAAAGAAAAACTTAACTGTATGAAAAAAATAATATAGGGCCTATCAAATCTAAATACGTATTTAATACGCGGTACATAATGTTACATAGGGTTACATGCATTTAAATGGTCCATTTTAACGAGTTTTTGGGTACGTTGGTTTAACCGGAAACCCCGTTATTCGGACTGGCCTCGGCACTGAGGAGTCCGGATAGTCTACTGTAATGCAGTATTTTACTAAGGAATACTTTTAACCAAAATTAACAGTATGCCTAACGAAAAAAGACTTCTGTATTAGTATTATTTTCAATTGAAACTCATATCTAGTATAATCATTTGGAATTTGGTTAAATAACAAATATTTCAGCCGTGAGCTAACTCGGATAACCTGGAGTCTCAGATAACCGGAGCTCAGATGATTGGAAGTTAACTGAAGTTGCTTGGACACCTACTTAATCTCTACTACATATTGTACTTCCAGATGAATTGTTAAAATACAAAACAATCAGAGAACACAAATACATTCTAAGCAGATAAATTATAACTATGCCTACTCTTAGAGCGTTAAACCAACAAATTGTTGTAATAATGATAATTTTTTACGGTTGATTTGCATTCAAAGAATAATAAAATATTTCCCTTTATTTTTTTATCATCATACAGTATTCATTTCAAAATAATTGTAAGACCTTAAATAGACAATTATTGGGGTTTGCATTAGGATTACAAAAGTCGCAACCAATCTCTAATATCTCAAATGCCTACAGTTTTTAGATTCTCATAAAAAAATAACTTGGACAAAGTAAAGGCATAGGCTAACACATTTGACACCTTATTCTTCAATCGGAAAGTTTTTTTTTTATCAAACTTAACAGCAATAAATAAACCTTCAGGTTTTTTTTTGTAAATGATGGTTCACATAACTGGGTTTTTTATTTCGGCATACGTTTTTGAACACGATATCTTCTTTTAGTTACCATCTTCAGTGAAACTCAAGGAATCATTATCCCAACTGATAAGTGATTAGAACCAGACTAGAGAGTAGACACTAATGTAGCTATGAGCGCTGACCGTGAACAACTTTGGCAGGTATCGTCTTAAATTCGTCTGTCCGCTGCCCCTACTACCACTCAAAAACTAAAATTCCCCGTGATTCCTACCTTAGTCCTAGAATAAGTAGTCCAGAAGTTGGCGAATAAAGTTAGTTGTCGAATAGACTAGTCTGCGGACTAGGGAGTTAGTTCGCGAGCTCTGAAACCCGATTTTTTATTCGATGACTAACTTTATTCACTGATTAAGTAACTCCAGGATTACGTATTCCCGAGCTCGGAAACCCGCCCTATGTCTCATATAAAAACGTAGATTCGGGTACAATTAACTATTTGTTTGAGGTCCCCACGACAAAATGGGCAAACGTGTAAACCAAAATCTTTTGAACGAGTCTCTAAAAATTGATATTTGGGCTATAGTCTGATAAAACTGCGTCATTGAAGCAAATAGATTATATTGAAAATATTTTTTTTATGGGAATGTTGTCAGTGGGTTTGT